GACAACAGACACCAATGAGCCAACAGAAGAAACAACACACACCAGTGAACCAAGAGGAGTGACAGCACACACCAGTGAACGAACAGGAGTGACAATACACACCATTGAACCAACAGTGATAACACACCAGTGAACCAACAGTGATAACACTAGTGAACCAACATTGACAACACACCTGTGAACCAACATTGACAACACACACCAACGAACCAACAAGAGTGACAACACACACCAGCGAACCAACAGTGACAATACACACCAGTGAACCAACAGTGACAACACACACCAACGAACCAACAAGAGTGACAACACATACCAGCGAACCAAGTGACATCAGTGAACCAACAAGAGTGACAACACCAGTGAACCAACAGTGACAACACACACCAATGAACCAACAAGAGTGACAACACACACCAGCGGACCAAGTGACAACATCAGTGAACCAACAACAGTGACAACACACACACCAGTGAACCAACAGTGACAACACACACACCAGTGAACCAACAGTGACAACTAACACACACCAATGAACCAACAGTGACAACACACACACCAGTGAAGCAACAGTGACAACTAACACACACCAATGAACCAACAGTGACAACACACACCAATGAACCACAGTGACAACACACACCAATGAACCAACAGTGACAACACACACCAATGAACCAAGTGACAACACACACCAATGAACCAACAGTGATAACACACACCATTGAACCAACAGTGACAACACACCATTGAACCAACAGTGACAACACACACCAATGAACCAACAGTGACAACACACACCAATGAACCAACAGTGACAACACACACCAATGAACCAACAGTGACAACACACACCAATGAACCAACAGTGACAAACCACACCAATGAACCAACAGTGACAACACACACCAATGAACCAACAGTGACAACACACACCAATGAACCAACAGTGACAAACACACACCAATGAACCAACAGTGACAACACACACCAATGAACCAACAGTGACAACACACCAATGAACCAACAGTAACAACACACACCAATGAACCAACAGTGACAACACACACCAATGAACCAACAGTGACAACACACACCAATGAACCAACAGTGACAACACACACCAATGAACCAACAGTGATAACACACACCATTGAACCAACAGTGATAACACACACCAGTGAACCAACAGTGATAACACACACCATTGAACCAACAGTGATAACACACACCAATGAACCAACAGTGACAACACACCAATGAACCAACAGTAACAACACACACCAATGAACCAACAGTGACAACACACACCAATGAACCAACAGTGACAACACACACCAATGAACCAACAGTGACAACACACACCATTGAACCAACAGTGACAACACACAAATGAACCAACAGTAACAACACACACCAATGAACCAACAGTGACAACACACACCAATGAACCAACAGTGTCAACACACACCAATGAACCAACAGTGACAACACACACCAATGAACCAACAGTGACAACACACACCAATGAACCAACAGTGACAACACACACCAATGAACCAACAGTGACAACACACCAATGAACCAACAGTAACAACACACACCAATGAACCAACAGTGACAACACACACCAATGAACCAACAGTGACAACACACACCAATGAACCAACAGTGACAACACACACCATTGAACCAACAGTGACAACACACCAATGAACCAACAGTAACAACACACACCAATGAACCAACAGTGACAACACACACCAATGAACCAACAGTGACAACACACACCAATGAACCAACAGTGACAACACACACAATGAACCAACAGTGACAACACACACCAATGAACCAACAGTGACAACACACCAATGAACCAACAGTAACAACACACACCAATGAACCAACAGTGACAACACACACCAATGAACCAACAGTGACAACACACACCAATGAACCAACAGTGACAACACACACCATTGAACCAACAGTGACAACACACCAATGAACCAACAGTAACAACACACACCAATGAACCAACAGTGACAACACACACATGAACCAACAGTGTCAACACACACCAATGAACCAACAGTGACAACACACACCAATGAACCAACAGTGACAACACACACCAATGAACCAACAGTGACAACACACACCAATGAACCAACAGTGACAACACACCAATGAACCAACAGTAACAACACACACCAATGAACCAACAGTGACAACACACACCAATGAACCAACAGTGACAACACACACCAATGAACCAACAGTGACAACACACACCATTGAACCAACAGTGACAACACACCAATGAACCAACAGTAACAACACACACCAATGAACCAACAGTGACAACACACACCAATGAACCAACAGTGACAACACACACAAATGAACCAACAGTGACAACACACACCAATGAACCAACAAGGCTAACAACACACTCATGCAGTCACTACGTTTTGTCGGTCCACTCTAAATGAAACAGGCAGGAACCACATGCTGTCTATCCTATAGAGATTCACGGAGACTTAGTGTTGTACTAAGAGCAAAGGGCAGGACTCGGAGTTATGTCTCGACCCGATATCTATTCCAATCGTGGTGTTCTTCTTAGAAACACCAGTTAACTGACTCAGACTAACAGAGATGAAGTCTGAGAAGTCTAACAAAAGAGCAGCAGAAGCAGAAGCAGAAGCAGGAGCAGCAGCAGCAGCAGCAGCAGCAGCAGCAGCAGCAGCAGCAACAGCAGCAGCAGCAACAGCAGCAGCAGCAGCAGCAGCACCACCACCACCACCACCAGAAGCAGGACCACAAGCACCAGCAGCAGCACCACCACCAGGACCAAAAGCACCAGCAGCAGCAGCAGCAGCAGCAGCAGCACCAGAAGCAGGACCACAAGCACCAGCAGCAGCAGCAGCACCACCAGGACCAAAAGCACCAGCAGCAGCACCACCACCAGGACCAAAAGCACCAGCAGCAGCAGCACCAGCAACAGCAGCACCAGCGTCGTATTCTCTGTTGTAATGGCAGACCCTAGACACTCTTCTCACAAGTACTCACGTCTATTTGAGGGAAAAAACACCACTCATGGTGACATTACAGAAGGCATGCAGCACACACACTCCTCTGACCACACGCACTCACAGCACCACCAACACCACCACCACCTAACCACCACCTTTTGTAATATACAAATATCTAATTTCAAGAATTTACCTACTCTCACAGCCCGGCCTGGGGCCCTTAAACATAACTCTGTTAGTGACACACTACTGGAAGCTCTAGCCAGTTTATGTAGTGAAGATTTCAGGTCATTGCAGACTACAATGTATCGTAATGTGGCTGTCAGGCACGAGCGATTATAGAACCATCTGGATGATAAAATTAACGAAACAAGAAACAGAGAGGGAAAACATTTGGGAAGAGAACGATAAGACTACTGCATTATGTAAGAGAATACAAGATAGACAGTTTGGTGAGAATGTTGTTTGTGGAGAGTTAGGAAGTGTGTTGACGTGTGTAGTGTGACACACTGGACCACACACTCTACCACAATGTGTGGCGTGTCATACTGGACCACACTACCACACTGTGTAGTGTGACACATACTGGACTACACACTCTACCACAGTGTGGTGTCACACACTGGACCACACTACCACACTGTGTAGTGTGACACACTGGACCACACACACTACCACAGTGTGGTGTGTCACACTGGACCACACACACTACCAAATATGTAGTGTGACACATACTGGACCACACACTCTACCACAGTGTGTAGTGTGTCACACTGGACCACACACTCTACCACACTGTGTAGTGTGACACACTGGACCACACACTACCACACTGTGTGGTGTCACACACTGGACCACACACTCTACCACAGTGTGTTGTCACACACTGGACCACACACTTTACCACACTGTTTGTACTGTTACACTGAACCACACACTCTACCACATTGTGTGTAGTGTGTCACACACTTGACCATACACTCTACCACACTGTGATGTGTCACACACTGGACCACACACACTATCACACTGTGTAGTGTGTCACACAATCTACCACACTGTGTAGTGTCACACACTGGACGACACACACTACCACACTGTGTAGTGTGCCATACTGGAGCACACTACCACATCAGCCGTCTACCACCAAGGCAGGGTGGCCCGAAAAAGAAAAACTTTCATCATTCACTCCATCACTGTCTTATCAGAGGCATGCTTACACTACAGTTATAAAACTGTAACATTAACACCCTTCCTTCAGAGTGCAGACAATGCACTTCCCATCTCCAGGAATCAAGTCCGGCCCGACGGTTTCCCTGAATCCCTTCATAAATGTTACTTTGCTCACACTCCAACAGCACGTCAAGTCCTTAAAACCATTTGTCTCCATTCGCTCCTGTCTAACACGCTCACGCACGCTTGCTGGAAGTCCAAGCCCCTCGCACACAAAACCTCCTTTACCCCCTCCCCCCAACCTTTCCTAGGCCGACTCCTATCCCGCCTTCCCTCCACTATTATATATATATATATATATATATATATATATATATATATATATATATATATATATATATATATATATATATATATATGGCAGTGAAGGTGACCCATAACAGTTCAAGCTTCACGGTCACAAAAATGTTGGTCCCACACTGATACAAGCTGATAGTTCACCTCAGCAGACAGCCTGGGTCAACACTTCAAAATTCCCTGCTATCTGCCTTCTCCATGTATTCCCCCTTTATTATATATATATATATATATATATATATATATATATATATATATATATATATATATATATATATATATATATATATATATATAAGCTAGGGTAACAATGACACTAGGAAATAAAATTAATTCTTTAAGACTACACGATTTAGGAATAGATGAGCCAACTGATCTAAAAATGAATGTGAGACTTGTTCAGGACGTGGGGGATGACTGACTGCTGGCGCTTACTTTATCCAGGAGGTGGTAGCAGGTGGCAGTATCCTGGAGGCGGTCTCTGGTGTGGTGGAGGCGGTCAGTGAACTGTGTCAGGTGGAGGTGGAGGGCCCTGGCCAGCTCCTTCACACTGGCCTCTGTGTCTCCTGCCGACGCTGCCTCCTCCAGTAGCGCCCCGCCCTTCTCCAAGTGCCGCTGAAAGTAATAAAAAAATATCCATCAATATCCCCTGCTGCAGGTGAAGGGCTCTTGATCCGAACAATGGAGCTACTTTCCACTTTCTCGCATACACCCTCATTATTGACAGATAGAAAACAAAGAGTAGTAGTAAACAGAGCAAAAGCCAACATTAACGAGTTAAAAAGCTCAGTTCCCCAAGGCACTGTCCTGGTACCTCTGCTGTTTCTTATCCTCAGAGCAGACATAGATAATAACACCCGTCACAGTTCTGTATCATCACTTACAGATGACACTAAAGTAAGCATGAAATTCACTTCGGTAGAAGACACTGAAAAATTGCAGGAAAATGTAAGCAGTGTTTTCCAGGGAGGAGTGAAGAACATGATGTTAGTGGTGATAAGTTCCAGAGACACTGTATACAAAATTCAACAGGATCATAAACAGGACGAAAAGAACACGTGAAAGACCTGGGAGTAATTTTGTCGGCTGACCTTCCTTTCAAAGAACACAATAAGGCAAATGTCACGACAGCCAGGAAGATGACGGGTGGATAATGAGAACTTCAAAACAAAGTATATAGTGCCAATGATGACACTATTCAAATCACTTGTGCTCTCTCGTTTAGAATACTGTTCAGTGTTGACGGCCACTTCAGGGCAGAAGAGGATACCAGAGCTAGAGTATATACGGCCCACATAAAGTCAAACATTTCAATTACTGGGAAAGCCTTAAAGTCATAAACACGTACTCACTGTCACAGAAGAGATATACATGATAATATACATCTGGAAGGCACTCGTGGGCCTGGTCCCAAATCTACACACTGCCATAACAACATAATAGTGAGAGATATGCCTTTACATTTGAAGAGTTTCGAGAGTTGGGTGGCTCTGGTGGCCTGGTGGTTAACGCTCTCGCTTCACACGGCGAGGGCCTGGGTTCGATTCCCAGCCAGAGTAGAAACATTGGACGTGTTTTCTTTCCACCTGTTGTCTATGTTCCCCCATCAGTAAAATGGGTACCTGGGTGTTAGTCGACTGGTGTGGGTCGCATCCTGGGACACTGACCTAAGGAGGCCTGGTCACAGACCGGGCCGCGGGGGCGTTGACCCCCGGAACTCTCTCCAGGTAAACTCCAGGTAAACTCTCGGAGCCGGGCCATGGGCCGCAGGAAGTGTAAAACAAATTCAGTGAAAAGCAGGGGTGAAGTGGGCACAATAAGCGAACACTATCAACATAATAATACATGTAATGACCACTGTAGTCTTAAAAAGTGACCAAATAAATAAAAGGTACTTACAGTGATTGTTTTATTGACTTCGATAAGAACATAAGAAGGAACACTTCAGCAGGCCTACTGGCCCATGCGAGGCAGGTCCAAGTTCCCCACCGGCCCAAGCCAATGCCCCAACCTAGTCAGGTCAGTAGATGAATGGTTCAGAGAACCGACATGTTGATAAATTAGACACATGTGTCTAATTAGACATGTGTCTGTGTCTAATTTATCAACACGTCGGTTCTCTGAACCATTCATCTACAAACCTGTCAGACACTGCAACTTCTTGGAATCTTAATACTTGGGAATTCTTCGCTTGCCTAATTCTTGGGCACGACCTACTTCCACATTGAACAAATGTGACACCACCTATGACTGCTGCACCTCTCCTGCCAACGGTTTATAAGCTCCTTCTCCGCACGTATGCCGTATTCTATTCAAGATTGATAGACTGACCACATCGACTCAAGGTTGAGGGACTGATTACCTCATTCTCCTCCTGTTCTTCAAGATTCTCCTTTGTATGGACTGATGAAGCCACTGTGTGGCGAAACGTTTCCTCAATAAATATACCCAAGAGTTGCACATGTGTCTAATTTATCAACTAGTCAGGTCAGTTCACATTCACTTAAGGAAGAAGCATGGCATCAGACTTAGTAGCACAATGGAAACATAAACACATGCAGTTTAATGTGATCCTTTATTGACAACGTTTCGCCCACACAGTGAGCTTTTTCAAGTCACAAACAGATCTACCTGGGGTGGAAGGTACGGGAGTATTTATAGTCAGAATGTTGAGGTCAGGTGGAGAATGCTGCATCTGAGGATCCACTGGGTGGGGTTATAGAGTCTTGGGTAGCTTGGCAGGGGTATTGGACCAGTTGCGAGTAGACCTTCTGCAGTGTTCTATGTTCTTATGTGGGATAGCGATGAAGAAGTTTCTTGGTAAGTGGTTCAGCTATGTTATAGAAGCCATTGTTCTGGTTGAAATTGTTGGTTATAGAGATAAGCGATGATTCCAGGATTCTTCGGTATTGAGTGTTGTCTTCTGTGGCGATAAGTCTTGAGTTTCTGTAGTTGATTAAATGGTTGTGTGAATTGCAATGTTGTACACAGGCATTCCTTGTATCGTCAGTCCTGCTTGCGTATTGGTGTTTTGAAATACGTGTTTGGAGGTCTCTTGATGTTTCGCCCACGTATAATTTGTTGCAGTCATTACAAGGGATTATGTATACCCCTGCAGAGGATGGAAGCTTGTCCTGTCTACTACTGGTGATGACCTTGATGGTCGTGGTGGTGGAGGTAGATACTTGGAATGATGTATTGGAAAAGATGTTGGAAACATGTAGCACAAGCTAGTCAGGTTCAACTCACACCCACCCACACCCACTCATGTATTTATCAAACCTATTTTTAAAAATACACAACGTTTTAGCTTCTACGACGGTACTCGGGAGTTTGTTCCGCTCATCCACAACTCTATTACCAAACCAGTGCTTTCCTATATCCTTCCTGAACTGGAATTTTTCCAACTTAAAACCAGATATTTTTAGCACGCTATTTACATCCCTGTTATTTATTCCTGTTTTCCATTTATACACCTCAATCATATCCCCCCTAATTCTACGCCTTTCTAGAGAGTGCAGATTCAAGGTCCTCAGTCTATCCTCATAGGGAAGATTTCTGATACATGGGATCAACTTTGTTATCCTCCTTTGTACGTTTTCCAGAGTATTTATATCCATTCTGTAATACGGTGACCAAAACTGTGCAGCATAATCTAAATGAGGCCTAACCAAGGATGTATAGAGTTGAAGAACAACCTGAGGACTCCTATTATTGATGCTTCTTGATATAAAGCCAAGGATTCTATTAGCTTTATTGCGAACACTTATGCACTGTTGTCTTGGTTTCAGATTACTGCTAACCAGAACTCCTAAATCCTTTTCACAAACAGTAATATTAAGATCTACATTATTTAGTTTATATGTGGCATGTCCAATGTTTAGAACTTTGCATTTGTCTATATTAAATTGCATCTGCCACTTCTCCGACCACTGCATCAGTCTATTTAAATCTTCCTGGAGTGCTCTAATGTCCTCGTCAGAATTAATTCGTCGGCCTATTTTGGTGTCATCGGTAAACTTGCTTATGTCGCTCTTTATGCCCTCATCAATGTCGTTTACGTAGACTGTGAATAACAAGGGGCCCAACACTGACCCCTGTGGAACACCGCTCGTAACACTTCCCCATTCTGATTTCTTCCCATTTTTGCAAACTCTCTACTGCCTATATGTCAACCATGCCTCTATCCAGGAATTTTTTTTTTTCCTATTCCGTGTGCCTTAATTTTGGTATCACATCTGCCATTTTCCACTTATCTGGCACTATGCCAGTTTGTAGTGATATGTTGAAAAGATTAGCCAAAGGTTTGCTAAGCTCCTCTTTACATTCCTTTAGAACCCTTGCGTACAGTTAATCAGGGCCTGGGGATTTGTTAGGTTTAATTTATCTAAGGACCATGTCACTTGTGACCCTAATCGTGCATAGTTTATCATCCTGTTCTACGTAATTTATAATTTCTGGAATATCGCTGGTATCCTCCTGTGTAAAAACTGAGATGAAGTATGTGTTAAAATTCTACACATTTCCTTATCACTGTCGGTGAGCTGACCCGAGTAACTTTTGAGTGGGCCAAACTTGTCCTTAATCTTACTTCTGTATACCTGAAAGAATCCTTCTGGGTTAGTCTTCGATTACCTTGGAACTTTAACCTCATAATCTCTTTTTCCTTTTCTTATTCCCTTTTTTATTTCTCTCTTTAAATGAATATATTGATGTCTTAATTTACCCTCTCCTCTTTTGATTCGCCTATATATGCCTCTCTTTTGACCAGTAAGATCTTTTAATCTATTGTTTATCTATTTAGGATCATTTTTGTTTGATCTTATTTCCCTAATTGGAACATAAGCTGTCTGAGCAGTTAGAACTATGCTCTGGAAATCGTCATATCAGCAACCATCACCACCTACCTGACCCATAGTCAGTTTAGCCCACCCAGGTAATTTCTCAGTCCTATGAAATCAGCCAAGCAGAAGTCAGGGACAGAGACTTGATTGCCATTATTAGGGTTAATTCCATGATATCTTAGTGATTTGTGATCACTTTTCCTAAGTTCATCATTAATCTCAAGATTATTAATTAGTTATTCCCTGCTGGCAAGAAACAAACCAAGCAGGTTATTTCCTCTAGTTGGTTCTGTCACAAACTGTTTTAAAAAACAATCCTGAATCGTATCAAGAAATTCACTTTGACTAAATTTCCTGTCAAATTGCTCCAGTCAATTTGTCTAAAGTTAAAATCTCCCATTAACACAACATTTTCGTTTGTATTTGCCTTACGAATTTCATCCCATAGAAATTTACTGCACTCCCTATCAAGGTTTGGGGGCCTGTAAATCACACCCAAGATTAGGTTTCACGGCCCTCGAAAAGCTGTAACCAAACAGATTCAGTGACTGACGCTTCTAATTTGATATCTTGTCAAACACAACAATTTAAAAATGTCTCTGACATACACTGCTACTCCATCACCCTTCCTGTTGGCCCTGTCAGTGTGGAATAATTTAAAGCCTTGTATGTGACATTCAGAAGGCATTTCTTTATTTTTCAGATTGAGCCAGGTCTCTGTTATAGCAATAATATCTATGCTTCCTGCACTTGCAATTAATCTTAGCTCATCTATCTTATTTCTAAAACTCCTGC